AGGGGGCTGGACTAGAAGACCTCCAAGGTCCCTTCCAACTCTGTTATCCTAATTCTATTCTAATTCTAATGCTAATTTGTCTGAAATGGTAGAGCGTTTCCTGCCTGAGCAGATGAGCAGGGGGGGCTGGACTTTTCTCGTGGTCCACGAGAAAATTTTGGTGGTCCCAGGACAGAGACCCTGGGAAAATCCCCAAAACAGTCTGCAGGAATATCCCCCACCGCATCTTTCTACCAATCGATCGTTCTTCATTTGGGATCGCAGGATACCCTCTCCCCCACCCGCCCCCAGGAACGGAGCTGTAAAGCAGGTTAGTGAAGCAACGTGGCTGCCTTGGAGGGTGTGTGTGTGTGTGTGTGTGTGTGTGTGTGTGTGTGAGAGAGAGAGAGAGAGAGAGAGAGAGAGAGAGAGAGAGAAAGAGAGAACATCATTACCAGCCCTCGGAGGTTAGATTGGATCTCTCTCTCTCTCTCTCTCCCACCAACATCAGTCAAAATTCATATTAGTGGTCCGCAGGATTTTAAATTATGAGTTTGGTGGTCCCTGAGGTGTAAAAGGTTGGCGACCCCTGGACTAGATGACCTACAAGATCCCTTCCAACTCTGTTATTCTGTTCTGTTCCCTATTCCTGGACTTTTTACTCCCTCTATCCGAAAAACAGAGCCACACATAAGCAAGTAAGAACCGCAGCACAGTTCCTTTAACGCTGTTATGTACGAACCTCCAACTCACAGCTAATCCTGACATGCAAGCATTTTTGTTGCAAAGTTTAAGAAAGGATCCAGCGATCCACTTGGCAAGGCATGTTAAACACAAGCAAGCGATCCAAGAAATGTCTTTATCCCCACGGCGGTACCAATTGAAAAAGAAGAAAACCCACAAAGCCAGAGGAAAACAGTTTGCAAGAAGTAAAAATGGTCTTGCAAGAAGGAACACAACAAATCCACAACAGGGCAATTAAAATAGGGGACACCTTTTGCGATGGACGGACTTTGTGTTAAGCAACCTGTTTACCGCAACAGAAACACAAAACAAGCAAGGTAGAACAATACACACAAATCTTTGGCTTGCCCTGCTGACATCACAGCAATTCAGCCAATCGCAACCAAGGTCCCTTCCTATTGGTCAGCATCTCTGTAACACAGAAGCAGCCATGTCTGTCGCAGCGCCAGCTTGTCACCAAATCAGAGTTCCAAAAGAACAACCATTAATTGTCACGACCACACAAATCTGCACCGTCCCAACGTTCAACAAGAGATGCACAAAGCTCCTCTGAATTTAGACTTGTGGACACTTCACCACCCCTAGCTTTAATCATAATTTAGCCAGGAAATCTGGACTTACTTTTTCACTTTGGGATATTTCATCTCCAAAATGGCATTTGTGGACTCCGTCTGTCTTTCCTTTAAATGCCGCGGCCACATGTTGTCCACCCAGTCTACCAAATCCACCTGGAAAAGACCCAAAGCAGAGTTAAGGTAGGAAATGGTAGAGAAAAACTGACTCCCTTGGCTAAGGATGGTCTAGGTCACCCGAAGCTCAACAAAAATGCTCTCATTGACCCCCAAGCTCAATTAGGATGCTCCCATTGACTGCCAAGCTCAAGTAGGAAGCTCTCATTGACCCCCAAGCTCAACTGGGATGCACCCGTTGACTCCAAGCTCAACTAGGATGCTCCCATTGACTGCTAAGCTCAACTAGAAGCTCCCATTGACCCCCAAACTCAACTAGGAAGCTCTCATTGACTCCAAACTCAACTAGGATGCTCCCATTGACTGCCAAACTCAGGTAGGAAGCTCTTATTGACCCCCCCAAACTCAACTGGGATGCCCACGTTGACTCCAAGCTCAACTAGGATGTACCCATTGACTCCAAGCTCAACTAGGACGCTCCCATTGATCCTCCAAGCTCAACTAGGAAGCTCTCATTGACCCCCCCAAGCTCAACTGGGATGCCCACGTTGACTCCAAGCTCAACTAGGATGCACCCATTGACTCCAAGCTCAACTAGGATGCACCCAATGACTCCAAGCTCAACTAGGATGTTCCCATTGACTTTCAAGCTCAACTAGGATGCTCCCATTGACCCCCAAGCTCAACCAGAAAGCTCTCTCCCATTGACCCCAAAGGTTTTACCGCTCAGTTAGAAACTCCACTTACAACATTGGGACGCTTGACAATGTTAGCTAGTTTGGTGTGGCTGAATTCCAGGCTGATCATGTTGTACAGCTTCTCACGCTCTGCCTCGGGGGTTTCGTAGTAGCGCACAAATTGAGCCATGCTCATTTCAATGCCTTTTTGGGTATTCACATCCACCACATCCACGATTCGGCGGCTCCCTGGGAGAGTTTGGAAAAGGTGAGAAAATACAGCAGAGGTTTTTATTCCTAATAAAGACGTTAAAAATAAACATGAGAAAAACTACGGTGGGAATCAGAGCTACTCAAACTGGCTGATATTTCTGGTTATCAAGAACATCCCATAGGTTAACCCAGGATAAGTTTGATAATTGGTTATTATACTGGCTTTAACTTTGGAATAACAGCAAGATTCCATATTAAAATTTAACTTTTAATCAGTATTTTCCCCTAAACAAGAAGGAAGCAGACACAGAGAGACTTTAACTACCAAAAATTTCCACCAATTTTCAATTCTCAGACATGGCTCAATTCTGCAAAATACAGAATTGGGTGCAACTGCAGCCTGCAACCTCGGTTATGTATTTTTAGTTTAGCCTTTCCCTTGCCTAGTTTATGCATAATACCCTGTTCGTTCTTTTATGTAAAAACAAAACAAAACACCTCAAATCAGAACATCATTTCTGCATTATGGAAAGAGGCATAGAAACTTACCCACAAGCATCTTAGCGTCTTGGACAGTGAAGTTGGGATCCGGCATCCTGAAATGATCAAAGGCGGAGGGATTAAAATCAAATGCAAAACAAGAGAGTCGCAATCACAACAGCATCAGACTGCCCCCGGTTAAGCAGCAGTCACAAGGACAGAATTTAAAAACCTCACTCGTTTGCAAACTGGGAATATCTCCTCCGAATTTGGAGGTTTCCCTTCTGCCTCTAAAGCTGGCAGCCACCATCTTATCTATGTTCCCCTCCTTTTTTCCTTCCTTCTTAAAAAAATCCCTTTTATGCTAAAGCGATGAATTCACAAGGCAGTCCATTACCACGAGCATCCAAACTTCCTTCTGCTTTTTTGACCCCCTCAGTGCCATTTTTTAAAAATAGTTGATGGATGGATGGGCCTATTTGATACGGATGGTTAAACTTTCCCATTAGGACCGTTCTCCTTATCACAGCTTTGACCAACCTCAGTGTTCCTATAGGACAATTTGAAGATACAAAAAAGATCAGAGATCTTGAATTATCCCAAGGATCATCTTTAGAAGGATAGGGGTGGGTTTTTTGTTTTGTTTTGTTTTTATTTTGTTTTGTTTTGCATAGCTATCCATGAGTTCAGTACCAGTTCCGTTCATAGAATTAGAAGTTTTCAAAGGTCCCCAATTCCTAGCCAGACTGCAAACCTCAAGGTAGCCCTTTCTCTTCGTAGGAAGAATAAAAGTCACCTATGTATGACTTGGGCAGCTGTATAATAAACAATAATAAATCTTTTCTTCTGTAGCATTTTTCCTCAAGTTAAGAGAAAGGGGCTTTGCCACAGTTGAAAACCTACCACGCCTATCATTTATCCTATTATTTATCTCAGCTTGGTTATAAGACTAGATAAAACAGGAGTTTCCAACTTGGGCAACTTTTAAGCCTGGTGGACTTCAACTCCCAGAATTCCCTAGCAACTCCCAGAATTCCCCAGCAAAGCTGGCTGGGGAATTCTGGGAGTTGAAGTCCTCCAGGCTTAAAAGTTGCCCAGGTTGGAGACCCCTGAGATAAAAGACACAGGATGATATAGATTAAGAGTAGAGTGGTCTTACTTAATTCCCAGTCCAGTCTTACTTCGGAAGATGAGAGGGACCTTTAGCGCTTCCTGCTGCACGTATTCAAAAGTGAAATCTGGGGAGAGGAAAAAAAAGCAGAGAAGGTCAGAAACAGATCAGTTGTAAGATTTCAGCCCTTAAAAAAAAAAAAAACTTGGCAAATATAGGTAGCCTTTGGCTTACGATCATATTCAGGCTCATCAAAATTTCCACTGCTAAGCAAGGCGGTTTTTAAGGGCGTTGCGCACCCGATTTTCTGAGCTGTTCACCACGGCTGCTAAGCGGAGCAGTTGTTAAATGAATCAAGCAGCCGTTAAGCCAATCCCAGCTTTCCCATTGACTTCGCTGCTGGGAAGATCACAAATGACGATCATATGACCTCCGGGTGTGAATTTTGACCACCTGACCGTGGGAAATGGTGCAACTGTCATTAAGTGTGAGAAGTGGTCTGGTGTATGTTACCTTTTTGGGGCGGCTGGCAGCTTTGAACAGCCCCTGGACAAATGGTTGTTAAGTCAAGGACTATCCGTGGAAGAAATCAACCTTTGTTAAGAGTAGGTGTTGAGTGGTAGCCATAATGTTCTTTGTTTTTAGCTTAGCAAGTTTGAACTTGGGACACCAAGTTTAGTTTTGCAAAGCAAAATTCTTCTAACCTCCTTCCTCATCCTTTGTCCTTCAGCCGAGTTGACAAAATGATACATGTATGGTTTAAAAACAGGTTTGTTTTTTTAGCGCTGGTTCTGTAATTTTACATTTCTTTCCGGCTCCGTTTTGAGAATTATATTCATGTATCACGTTGTATCCTCTCCCTCCAAAAGATGTCAAGCGTGGGCTGGCTTTGTCCTTATCCTAATAACTCTGTGCCTCTGGTTTTTCTTCTTCACAAAAACCCTGCAAGGTAGGCTAGGATGCTACCAGCAAAGGGGACAGATTCGAGATTAACCATCGAAGTTTCCTCTCAAGGAGACTTGAGTTCAAGGTGCCAATAAGCTCTTGACCGTCTCTCCCTGAATTACATTTTAATCGGCAATCGCTCGAAAGTTAAATGAAGTTACAATCGATGGAAACCCAAGTTAAATGTTTTAAAAGGCTGTTTTTTTTGCAGGAAAAAAAAAACACTCCCCAAAATCCTAAGAAAATTCAGCAGGGAGCTAGACCGGATAAACGAACTGAGGACTATTTTCTGGGGAAATATACTTAAAATGCCCATTGAAAAATAGTTTCTATAAGCTAAGAGACCCCAGAGAACAAATTAACCAGCCAGTTCTAGCTTCTCCAGTTATTTGGCACTACAACTCCCATCATTTCCAGCCGGGCTCAAGGTTAAAGCCCATCCTCCCCAGCCAGGCCCCAAGACCAAGCCCACCATCCCCAGCCGAGCCCAAGGCTAAAGCCCATCCTTCCCAGCTGGGCCCAAGCCAGCCCATCTGGAACCTCCGCCCTCCGAAACCTTAAGGGGAGCATTAAAAGCCACCAGAACCCAGACTACAAAGCCCATCACTCTCCCTGGGTGACGCCTTAACCCTCAAGTCTGAGGAAAAATATTCCAGGCCTCGGAGTCCTCAGCGCTTTCTGAGGTGGGTACTTGAAATGGGGGGAGGGGTTTCCCCAATTTTGTCTTTTGCCCAGAGACCCTCACTGTCTCCCCCTCAAGGGCTCAGACCTGAGGGGGATCCCCTTTGGGGGCTGGGGGGGCAGCAGTGGGGGAAAGTCAGGGTCAAGGGGAAGGTGGGCATCCAGAAGACCCCCCAAGAGGAGGATTTAAAAAAGGGGGGGGAAGCTCAGGGCCCAAGTGGGGAGGGGGCTGCGAGGCGGGGGGGGGGGGGAGAGTGGGGGGAGAGCCGCTCCGCCTTCCTGGCCTAGGAGCCCGCCTCAACCACTTCCCCGGCCAGCCTCGGTGGCGCCACCGGATCCCCCGGCCCCGGGGGTGGGTGGCGGGAAATACGAAGCGGGCCCGGGCTGCTGCACGTGGGGAAGGGGTGTGTGTGTGTGTGTGGCGGCCTCTGCACTCACCTTGCCCGTCCATGGGCCGCACGAAGTCCCCGCGGTAGCTGCGGCTCCTCAGCTTCTCGTCCAGGTTGAAGCCGCGCACGCTGACAATCTCCTCCACGTCGGACAGGTCCTCGTTCTCGTCGTAGAGCCGCCGGCCGATGCAGCGCTGCACGGGAAGGGCAGACAAGGCCAGGGGCGCGTCGCTGGGGGAGCCCAGGAAGGGGCCCGCGGGCGCCCCGCTGGGGGAGGGAAGGAGGGAGGGGGGAAGCCCCGCGTGGGCGTGGGAAAGGGGGGCACCGCCATTCCTCCCCCCTCCTCCTCCCCACTTTTTGCAGTGGGGTAGGTTGCTCTCCCTTTGCGACCCCAAACCCATGTCTGGGGTGGGGGGGGGGCGGGGGGGGGGAAGGCGGGCCCGGCTTTGACTCGGATGTTTCTCGACTCGGGGAAGAAGGGGGAGGGGGGGAAACACACCAACTCCACTTATTGCACACTACCCTGGCAGGGTGGGCTTCTTGCATTGGGGCCCGGGAGGATCTTCTGTCCCACCCCCCTCAACCCGTTCCCACGAGCCCTCTTCCCCACCCGCTTCCCTTAGCAACGCAGGATCGCCCCAAACACGCGCGCGGGGGGGGGGGGGGGGAGTCAAAAACAGCCCAAACAGCCTTTTTTTTACGTAGGAAGCCGCGCAGGCTGCCCGAGTCATACCGGAAGCCGGCCTTTTAGAAAAGCACAAGGCGGTTATGTAACACGGGGGGGGGTCCCCGCCCGCAGTGCCCCCTCCCCAAAAAAGCAACCCCCCCCCGGGGTCCCCTTTCCCTTACAACCCCCGTCCCCAAACGCTCGTCGTTGCTATCCAAGCCGGGCTGGGCTTCCCCCAGTTCCCGAACGCGGAAGTTTTGGGGTGGGAAGGGGGGGGGTCTTTTTCTGCCCACCGGGACCGACCTGAGGATGGGAAGAGTGGGGGGTGGGGGTGGGGGGGAAAGAAGGGGGGTTAGGAAAGAGTTAAGCCTGCTCGCCCCCCCCCCCCCCAAGGGGGACAAGGGGAGGCCCAGATCTTTCTTTCCTCCCCCGCCACCCACCCACCCACCCAAAACAAGGCGGAAAAAGCATCGCATGCGAGGACGCGACTTGCGCGCCCCTCCGCCGTTAGGATCGGGCTCTGCTCCGGCGCAGCGGCAGGAGGGGAGAAGAGGGAGGGGGGATCCACGCACGAGCCTCCCCTCCCCTCCCTCCCTCCCTCTCTCTCTCTCCCCCCTTCCCACCCAGCCGGTAGCAAACCCAGGATCTCCCCGCGGCTGGTTTAAATGCCCAGCCGGCGCGCAGGGCAGCCCCACATCTCGCCCACCCACCCCCCC